CTAACTGACAAGTAAAGATGAATGCAGTGAAAATATGTTTACCTTTTCAAGCATGATTTTAATTCATTTAAGGTAGAATAGGTTGTAACATGTAACACAATTGTCTTTAAGGTTGCAATTTTAATGTAGTCAAATGTTGTCATGTATTTGCTTCGTGGCCTGTGTGCTTAGAATTGACGAGGTACTTTTTGTTATTCAAATATACTGTATAGATGTTTTTCATTTAGAGCAAGTGAAGTAGGCCCAGCAATAAGAAAGTGTTTTGATGATTATGTGTCTACTGTCACTACAAGGTTTACAAGCTGAATTACTTAAACTAAGCCAAACATGTGAGTGACATGTCATCACAGAAAGAGGAAAGTGGTTGGATTGCAGTTTCATAACATACTCTATCAGTTTTGAAATCTTAAAACTCCAAACCCTATTTATTAAAATTGTTTGATTAAAACACTTCTTTCACTTTCAACTCGACATAAATAGAGGTTGTATTATTCATATGTTTCCTCCTCCAAAGTTTCATAACTTTGTTAAAGATAAACAGAGTTTAAATAGACAGCGCTAATCTAATTTAAATACCCCAAGATGGCGAATGCCTTGTTGTTAATATGAAAGCAGAAAAATGGAGGGTATTGTCATAATCTCAAAGGGTAAATTTCAGCCCACACCGCAGCTGCAGCATTAGCTGCGCTCTCCATATAGGAAAAAACAACAAAAAGAGAAGATAAAGAGGAGACTACCACGGCGGGCAGCCCCCTTTAAACACTCACAACAAATGATTTAATGTTAAGATAAAACATTTAAAAAGCCCACCTGTGTTATATCCAGTTATTTGCCCTTTTTTTTTTTAAATGTTGTCACGCGAAGCGTCCACAACAAGCATTAGCCAAAACCATACACTACTTTATGATGCACTCCTACGTGAGGCGTACTTTGAGATTTAAAACCCATTTATATGTGCGAGAAACAAACTTATAGACATGTTTTTATCACCCTGTCCTGTTAAGGTTTTCGGACAGAGGGTGGATCCGCAGAGTGGACTAGCTGGCAACAAAGACAAGATCCATGCTGCAAGGTAATGACAAGACTGAGCAGCCTGAGCCAAGTACCGGTGACATGTTAACGTTAGTTTCTCTACGTCCGAACACTCTTCTTGTGTCCAGAGTACAAGTGCAGCATGACAACAGTTACATTCCGAACAAAGTTTGAATCAGAAACATCCCTAAACTGTGTATTTACTTTGACGCGAACTTTCTTTTTCATCTTAAATAGCCGCGTTGAACTCACGGAGTCGATAACGCTTCAATGAGACAAGTGTATGAACCTATGGTATGAACAGATGCTACTGGTATAGCTAACAAAACACGTTAGCTTAGCTGTTAGCCCAGGCGACCGAAATCTGTGAAATAACACATTAACTGAACGTACGTTGGTGACAAACACCTAGCAAAAACAGACAATTAAACTCACCTCATCTCTGAAATTGGATGTAATCCTTTGGGGAAAAAAGCGAAACAAGGTGATGATTTACTTCCCAGTTGTGTGCAGTTTTGGGGATGTTAAACAGACATGAACGGAGAGATTGGTCAGTGTTTAGTTGGCTCCGGGTGGCAGTGTGACTAAGTGTGTTGCTCTCTGGTCGCAGATTGAAGAGACTCTGCTCCGCTTCACTCGGAGCAACGGAGCAACTCAAGACAAGTGACGTCAGCTCCACGCTCCGACAATGCAAACTTTTGTTTCCCAAAAACTGCAGCCAGCAAGTGCACAAACTGTCAACATCAGCGAACATACTCCTCACATCTGTATGAGGCGTGCATCTGATGCCCTGCAAAAGTAAACAATAAATGAAATCATAGCTCACTAATGATGATGCAGGCATTGTCAAAACGGTATTGAATATTGATATATTAATAATAATAATAATACACTGCTCACCAGTCTTTAGCAGTAATGGACGAAGTAGTTAGATCTTTGAGTGTGGTAATACTAAAGTTTAAACAACTATTACAAGTCATGAGTTTAAAATCTTGTTTAAGTAGGCTAACAAAATATAAGCTTCAAAAAGTATCCGAAGCAAGTAGTCAATATGCAGAATGGCCTATTTCAGAATAAACATTTGTATAGTATTTGATTATAGTTATTGATGGATGCATGTGTTCAACACTTTTATATTGCAGATGAAAAGGTGGAACACATTTGTATATTTTGTATTAATAATCGAAATATGTAACTTGTGACTTGAGTTGTCAAATAATTGTAGTGTAAATAGTGATATGAATAATAATAAACTATATTTTATATTTTCAAATGCTACACATTTGCAGGGTTTATTTAGAACTCTTCAGAAGGGTTAAATTAAAGCCAAAGTTGAAGGTTATGGTTTTTGTTTATCAAAATAAAGGCGAGATAAGGTTTAGGGATGGACTGTATTGCATGGGATAATACTTTATTGTGCAGACATTCTAATAGTCTGTTTTGTTATTAATAACCTAAGGAGGCTGGGTGAGTAGCATTGTCTTTCTGACGAAGGCATGGAGAAGATACTGTAGAGTAGAGTATCATCTGAAAGAGAAACTGACAGACAAATAACTGAATAATGTCTTTATCTTTTAAGTTGTAATGGTGCTTTAGTTGGTATCCCTTCAGTGCAGGCAACAGTTCAGGTCAGTCTTATTGTTCCCAGGCAACATTTAGATTGCAACATTACAAAAACAGACACATCAAAACACTGACAAAGCTCTGTGAAGATAAGTCTTGCTATGTAAGGCTACGTCAAAGCAAACTCATCCAACATCAAATGCAGTAAAATGTCAAAAGTATAAGATGAACATGCAATAGCAGTAAGAATAAAAGGTGTGTGCATAAGTAAATACAATCTAAAAAAGGAAAACCACTAAATAAGAGCAATTAAAAAAATGAAAACAGTAGATCTGTGACAGTCTCAAAGGGAGCAGCGTAAACTATTTTTTCCTTTTTTAAGGGATAGTAGTTTGCTAAAAGGTGTGAACTGCTTAGATTAAGTAACCAATCAAACCAAATGTTTAACAACCCATAGAGAATCCATTAACAAGGCATTGCAATACATCCTGTTCTTCCAAAAAGTGACATCAGTTTCGCAACCATCTGCCTTTTTTCCTCATCGTTAAGCAAGCATACAATCTGCAACAGGAAATGAGGTGCATTTTATCATTAAACTCACCGACAAACATTTACAGCACATTGTAATTAAACATGTAACAGTATGAAACTGTATCACTTATGTGGACTGATTTCATTGTGTAGATCCAGTGTTTAAATAACACCAATTATGATACAGCTTTTGTAAGGAATTGTTATAGAATGAGACATTTGTGTTGTGGGAGGTGAGGATTAAGGTAATGAGATTTCTGTTTATTTCTGGATGAATATAACAATGTCACTTGTAATAAGAGTATCTTGCATTATATTGTTCTGTTTGAAATATGTGTTTGTTTTAGTGGATTTAAATGTATGCCATCTTTAGCCAAAGCACATTGGACATGACGTTTAGCTAATTAGATACAGTAATTAAGGCAAGCATATAAAGCAGTGGAGGATAAAAACATTTGACAAATAACAATTTTAAAAGGGTGCTTGTTCACCATCCCTTGTGTTCATTGATTTTTCTCCATCCCCCTCCTTTATTCTGTGTCATTTTAGATGCTGCAGTCACAGTCAAAGGAGCTACTGACTGGACTGAGTGAAACACGCATGGCTGGAAAAACACACATGGTGAAATGGGGGTAAAAAAACTGTTAGATAAATGTGTCAGCCGAGCCACAGGATACCTGTCTTTTTAATTGTATTGGACACATTTTCATCAGAGTGAATGAGCGATAAGAGAGATCAGGGCAGCGCCACTTCCAAAAGCCTTTTCCGACCATGGTTTTTCACATTGCACACTCAAAATGTCAGCCTACCTTGGTCATTTGTAACATACTAAATCGCAGTCGATGGCTGCAATGCAGCAGCATGCTGGGGGAAGGGCAAACAGTCTGTCTCCCTTTAAAAGGATTTTTAAAGAGTCTTGATTAGAAAGTATAATGAGATACCAAAGTCACAGCAAAGATGATCTCTCTAGAGACTGATGGAAAACAAATTAAGATGGTGCTTTTGTTTTTAATTATTATTTTTCTATCAGTCCAAAGAAAGCTCAGTGTACCCGTAAGGCACATGAGTTGGACTCCATGTCATTGATTTTTTTTTTTCCTGACATATTTGAATAATGCAGATTTTAATCGTGTCAGCACACAATGCTCTGATCCCTTTAACACCAAAGCCTTCCAGCACTGTACATGCATTTGATTTAGAAAATGGCACAGTGTCTGAGCTAAAAGCTAGGTGCTTTGGTCACGTAAGTGTGTGTGTGTGTGTGTGTGTGTGAGAGTGTGCCACACACCATGTGATTTGATAGATATCATATCTATGACCTTTGTTTTTGGGTGTGCATTCATAGGGTGATTCATGGATTGCAATGATTTTTTTGAAAATATCGTATCAAATACAAATGTGGAATTACAAATTGTGAACACAGTCAGTTTTAGGTATTCATTTTAAGCGAACAAATAGGATAGTTAATAATAAAGATGCAGACCTGTATGAGGTAAAGAATTGAAGAATACTTCGTGTTGACATCATTTATTTGATTATACTACTGCTTTTCTAGAATGACCTGGGTTGAGTGCAGTCATCTAAATACTGGCCTTTATTTTGCTCTGTTAATTGGAGCATGTTCCAGGATAGTGAATGGGGGAGAAACATGAGACTTCCAGGACATGAGAAACAGATGCTCTACAATACTGTGGACACTGATACCTTTCCTGGGAAAGACATGAATGAGCTGAAGAGAATTAACTGATATGTGGAGAAAGAAACGTGAGATTGCGGTGAAACCGGAAAGATTGAGTCTGGCCTTCTGCATTTACACAAAGGCCTGATTTAGTACAATTTCTTAAGAATTAAAACACTTTGAAGTGTGTACTTTATTGACACATAGCTATTCCACAGCTTGGTACACTTGTTCATATCCAGTGTGCCTCTCATTTCATTCCATCAGTCGTGCTACTGTATGTCATATCTTATTCATGCATACCAATGTCCATTTAATTAGTCATTCTGGGTCAATGTAGACCTCTCCCTGCTTTAAGCAGCGGTGTGACAGATGTGTGAATGAAATCACGTGCTGTTCTGTGAGTTAAAATGGACCATTAGAGCCATTGTGATGAGACAACAGCCCCTCTATGGTTATAAAATGCATACAGCCCAGTTCACGGAAAAGATGGTTTTAGCGATGTTACAGCATTAATTACTTTAGTTACAATCCGCTTGCAAAAAATAAAAGGTTATGCCTAAAAAGGTTCATCCCAAATTAAATTCAAACCCATTATTTCTCAAAAAATCTAATGAGGCATTTCAGTATATTAGCATTACAATTAATTATCATAATTATGCCCGTGCATGAAAACACATTTAATAAACCCACCCTTTTGCATAATACACATTTTCTCTGTTGTAGCTGACAAACACTCTTTTCCGAAGCATTATAACAAATTACAAATCTGCGTAGGTTCAGCAGACCTTGCTCAGCCTGATAATCAGATTCATTTGCCATTTTGTTTTCATGTCATTATTCATTCTTAACTAATTCTATTTGAATTGCTAAAATAGAATGTGAGATGAGGGCAGAAATTCAGAGACCAGACTAGAATATGTATACTGCAATCCCACTCCAAGCTTTCCAAATGTGTCATACAGCGTGCCATTCAAAAGCTCACAGCATCTGCTATGGAATCTCTAATACATGATACTCTGTTGGAGTAATGAGTGTGAATCACTCTTTGGCCTTTAAAAATCTGCTAAATTTGAGTTTTGATGAAAACTGTATAATTAAGTTATTTTTAAACTATGTGGATTTGAGTTAATACATAATGGATGTAATGTATGTTGGAGTGATGAATATTTCAGTTACATTAGTGTTCCTCAACCACCATTATTGATTATTGTATGCCCATTTTACAATAGCTTTTAAAATGACTGTATACAATCATATTTATAATAAATAAACAACAACAACCCTAAAGACAGATTATATTGAGACCTGTCAATCAATTCCAGAATGACAGCAGGGTCCGATATTTGATCAGGCTTTTGTTCACATATTTAGATATAGGATGTTAAGGCTTTTGTTGACATCTAAAGAAGGAAATGATTCCTCAAGGTCTATTCACGCAATCATCTTTTTAAACATGTTTTTAAATAGCTGTTTTTTGTGGAATACTTTTTAGAAGCAATAGTTTAATATCTCCATTCTACCACACTTCTGCAGTTTTAGACCTTCGTCTTGCATACCATGTTAATTATTTGCCACCACAGCAAGATTTAAGACTTTCTTAATCATCAAAAGGACTTTCACCTCAGCCTGGAGAAAAGATAAGCCTTCTATAACTATAACATCAGATCTTGTATTACATCTATTATAATTACTTCCCATTATAAATATATTTATGGTCTATAAATGAACAGATGTTTATTTTAGTGTTCCGATAAATTAATGTTCAACAAAACTCCTTGCACAAACATACCAAAACAAATGTATTCAATGATTCTGGACCTCATTAAAGAGAATCCCTTCACAGCAATGTCAGGAGTGGGACTTGTGAATCACTGTCCCACCTTGTGGCCAAACCTAGAAATGACCTGTAAAGCAGGGACGAAAAGGTTATTCTTATGGCTATCTCTTAGTGTTTCACATGAATTAATGTACACAGAAATGCTTTGGATAGTTCATAACAAGATTTGACAAACATTGAGAGAAAGTACACAATAAAATAGTCATACATACTGGGGATTTCTTTAGGTGAGACTTCTTGAAAGGTCTAAAATTAAATGTACAATTGAAAAGGAAAACAAAAAAGATTCCCTGCCGACTTCTCTCAGTTCTGTTTAATCTCGGCCCACGCTGAGATGTCAACAGAGCTACTGGACATTTGAAGGGAGTGGCGCTTTACACATGACAGTGATTTAGACATCCTTTCAGAACTAATGAATCTCTATACCCAATTTCAGTGTCCTTCTTCATCCTTCTGCTCATGCAGTGACATGTTTATTTAGTAGAAACATTCTAAATAGATCCCAAAGAAGTCTTTATTTCTTCTCACTTTGCTAGCTTTCAACACTGCTGGACAACACACGTCTGGGAAGCCTGGTAACTACTGGTACCTAGCGGCATACTAGCAACACTCAGATCAATTTAACAAAGTCAACAACAAACACTTCTAATAGTCAAACATACTTTATTATGAAAAGCACAAAGGGGCTCAGATACAAACAAATTATCCTCAAGTATTGCAAAAAAGAATAATCAACTGTATTAAGAAGCCTATTTTACACAATGTAATAAAGTGTCATCATTCTGGAGTATACCCGTCACACAGCCAAGTATTGATTGTCATTAATGTTCACAGGAAGAGTTACTTTTTCCACTAACAAAATCATCAGGGTACTCCTAAGAAATAAAGCACAGATAATTCAATAATTGGATTTCATGTGGCAGGAAATATTTATATAGTATATATATTGCATCTTTCAACAGGGTAAACAGTGCATAAAGGACTGGCAATGTAGATTATTAATATATATATATATTTATATAAACTCTGGAATAAATGAAGACATCTTCAGTGTTGTGATTTTTACTGGCTATATTTGTTTTAGTCTTGTCACAATATAAACTCAAGCACAGGATAAAATGCAAGGAAATGACAAAGGACATTCTCTGGCAGTATTGGCTTAGGACAGCTTTCCATTACAAAAATATATTTATAAAGAATCTGCTTTACGGACTGTGCAAAACAACATTTACATGCGTGAAGTAACGTGGCAATTGCTCAAGCAATAGCAAGGCTTTTGTTTGGATCAAGCTATTTACATGTGTCCCTGATAGCTTGTGATTGACAATTCCTGTTTCTCTGAATGCTGCTTTAACCGGGACAGACATGAAGGAAAACTGTAATCATGGATGGCATTGTGTCGCTGCATCAGTTGACCCTAATAGTACAATCTCCATCTTGTTAGTCTCACTAACTCACAAAAAATGTATATTGTGACTCATGATATTGATATGTGTTAACCAAACACTACTTCATTAACTGTTTTTTAGATTGAACTTCTCCATGCATGAACACCCACCTATTAGGTAGGTGCTTCCTTTTGTGAAACAGAGAGTAAGTTCTCCTATGGCACGTTGTCATTCTCCTCCACCAGACAGGACCGGTCTGAGTCCAGGACTCGGAACGGAGGGTGGTATTCAAAGGGCGTGAAGATAGAGGTACCTAGATTGCGCTTCTGGTGAAGGAACCAAATAACTGCGGAGACTCCCATGATGGCCACCACGCTGAGAATGACCAGAGCAGACAGCAGCGCACTGGGTTCTGAGGAGAACAAGAAACAATGCAAGGAAGGTCACTACAATAAACACTAAATCACTGAGGAATAAGTAAAGAAACAGCTAAATCAGCTCAAAGGTTGACTTACTCTGCTTGACTTTCTCTGCCTCTGAAGAAACAAAAAACACATTGTGAGGCCAGTGGAAAACAATTTTGACTATATCTCCTGAAGTCACATTACCTCAAACGTTTGCTACATGGACTTAAGATTTAAAAAAGACTCAGGAAGTTTATGAACATAACAAAAGGTCTAATAGACATTGTGACTTACATGTTACATATCAAAAATTATAATTCAAAGGAGCTTTATCGACATGACCATACTGTAGTATTGCCAAAGCATGTTGTATTATGTGTAACCAGGTAAAAAACGATACATGCAACAAATATCAATCTTACTTTGATCTGTTTCGCAGACCACTCCATTCTCTGCCTGTTCCAGGCAGCTGACATTTTCCCATTTTCCTGTGTTGGTGTGCAGGGCCACACATGTATCCAAGGGCATAAGGTCTGATGGGGAAGAGCTGTCCTCCCAGTTACTGAATCCTACAGGTTTCTCACCAAACCACTTCATGTTGTCACCTGGCAGGACACAACAACATTAATCCAGCACGACAATAAGCAATAATACAGCCACTACCTTAATAATGTGAACCATTCATGTTTGTGGTAGCTTAACATAATTTACTAAAGTTGTGCTAGATTTGAATACAATGAGTGTTTTTATACAGCATTTAAAAAAAGTAGACATTGTGTCATGTTCTCTAAAATAAAAAAATAACTTAAACATGGAGCTGACACAAATCTAAAAACATCTGCAATAATTTTTGAGTTAAGACCAGTTAAGATTTCTTTGTCAAACTACTGTCTCTTTTGTAGAATTAACAACATATAATACCCAAACAAATAGACACCTTTCCAATTATGATCAATTGACTTGAAGACAAAACACTTTGTGATAAATAAAAACATCCCTTTGAGATACAGAGTTGGTCTTCCACCTAGTCACCTCCAAACAATTGTTAAAAGTTGAATAACCTTACTGATTGTTATAGAGAAACAAATTCTATCTCATGGAAGTCAGCCAGCATGTCTTCACAGTCCTCCGGTCACATGGCACTTACTGTTTGTGTCATAATACATCCCCAGCCAAATGTTGACATTGTTTTTCCAGACCTCTGGGCTATATTTAAAGACAAAGTCATTCTCCTCAGCACTCTGGATGGTCAAAAGCTCTAGAAAAAGAACAGCAATGTATGACAAGAGAATAAACATTGAGAATACACACAATCCATTTGCCATTAACAAGATAGTTTAAAAAGTAAAAGTCGTTGGTACCAAACCCTTGGCAGAGAGTTTTTGCTCTATCAAAAGTGTAGCTTTTGATTTTGTCTTCTGCTCCGTGGACAAAGTGGTAACACCCGTCTCCAAATGGCACCCAGGTGCGTCCATCTGCAGGGCAGTCTGAGGAAAAACATGGGACAAACTATGTATTTATTCGTAGCTGTTAATGATGACTTAAAAGCTACAGGATGAAACATTTACAAAAACACCATGTTAATTATAACTGACTTAAACTAACTTCAGGTTTCTGTAAGAGAGGTGAAACGTTATGTACAGTTGAAATAACCCTTATGATTAGTTTTAACTTGTGACCACTGTTCCTCTTTATCAATGCAGTTGTGTCATGTTTGGCAACTGGTGTCTTGTTTTTCTAGACTTTTATACACGTATTGTTTTCTGCTTTGTTACTGCTGCACCTGTTAATTGATAAAAATGGTTGTCCCCTCAATGGAGCTCTTACTGAAGTTACTATAAAAACACAATATGTCATAAATGTTGCCAGTTTATTTAAGAAGTCTCATCGTTGTAGCAAGGTTTTAAGGTGGTCATTTATTTACTCCTTGGTTATTATGCTTCCAGTTTTACTCGTTTAAATGTCAACACAGCCAGTAATTCCTGTAGCCTACATAAGAGGTTACTGCCTAAGTTAGCCATGAGGCGACTTAAAAGCAAAATAGAAAAAAATAAGATGTCCTTGAATACACCCACTTCTAACGGGAAACACGGGTTTATAATTTGCTTTAAAAAACCTGTATCGCAACCATAGACTGTATAGATCACAACCCAGGAAAGCACAACACTTTGAACGCAGTTACTAATGCTAACCCTGATTCAAAAGTGATGTTGCCATTAGCTCAACAACAGTGTCGACATTTGGGAAATGTGCTAGCAGTACTAGAGCTGACATGCCTTATCGTGAGAAATTGAACAAAAAGCAAACATAAGTACAAAGAGCAAACAGTTGCTGCAACGTAGGCCTACACAATGCTAAATTCAAGATACCACGTTCATTTAGCTTAGAGCGAATATTTAAACTCTTACCTCCCGTCAAACCCAACTGCAGCTGAAGAAACAACACAAGGACACCGCATGTAAATGATAGGGAACGCTGATGCTTCTCCGTTGACTCCATGACAGAAAAGATCATATTATATAATAATGTTGTAGCACAAACTAGTTCTCTGACTGTTTCCAACCCTTCTCTGTACTCTGTTTGACTATAGTGCCTGTCTGAAGCAGCAACGTGAACGAGATCCCACCCACACACCACCCACGAACGCACACGCACACGCGCGCACACACACACACACACACACACACACACACACACACACACACACACACACACACACACACACACACACACACACACACACACACACGCACACATAACATACTGTCAACAAAAAAGGCAATTTAAACAGTTGGGATGTTATAACAATCTAACATATCTAGTAAGTAGAAAATGTATGCAAACAGCGTAGAGCTAATGGAAAAGCAGTGTTTTTTGTATAAACAATTTTAAAAAAAACAGACCTACAGTGTCAGACTATAACACACACAAAAAGCTCTTGGTGGTGCTGCAAGCACAGTGTCATATTGTCCCAAAAATCATAATAAGGAAGAAATAGAATAAATAGAATGTTTATACAAATCCAGACTTTGTCTAAGAGAGTCAATTTTAAAATGGTCTAAAAATAACAAAGTTAATGTTAAATATTTTTCCCAAGTACCAGATATTTAAACCAATCAGAACACGTTTTTTTCTTCTTCTATGATTCTAAATATAGTGTCTTGGCCCAAATGTATTGAGAATGGTTTTGATTCAGGGTGTTTCCTATCTGAGCAGGTGAGGTGGGCGGGGGCAGCAGAGAGGCTCAGGGGGGGAAGGGGTTTCATCTTCATTGCTTGCAGGCGCAGGTGGCACAAACACAGACAGCTGGGGGGTTAGTTTTGCTCCTCGTCTGGAGCTGGTGGCTTCCCGTAGGGTGGCACAACACTCTGCAGGAGACCGTGTGGACCCATCTGCCATGGCAAGGCCTGCTCACAGATGCCCCCTCCTCCCACCACAACGTACCTCCTGATACCCAGAACTCACCCTGCCCAGGCCACACATATTGTCCACAATACCATGCGACAGTGTTTATATAGTTCAAAATCAGAAATATTGGTTCATGTATGGGTATGAGATGGTCACTGTCACAATAATGGTGTCTGCTATAGGGGAGGAAAATGTCATCAAAGTGGCCTCTGTCAGCTGCTACATTCATGGGGGAACAAAACAGATGTTTATTTTCTTCTCCCATTTTTGTGTTCTTGAACATTTGTCAATGAAAACCGACTCATGTATCTTTTTCCACTGTGTTTAAAAATAAAAACGATAAATGCAGAGATATACATGATACTTTCCATCTCCGAGGTGTTGGGACACCTCTGTATCTATCTTTTGTAAAGATACATTACTTTCAAAATGTTGTTTATTAACACTTGCATATTATAAATTCTAATAAGACCAGATTCCTTATTAACAACAATCAAAATGTGAGAGACGTCAGAGACTGTGTTTGGACTCAGCCCTTGCAAGCTTAAAGTATATTTTACTGGCAGACTATACCAATAAACCATTTATTTAATTGTATTGTCTATACTCAATTATAGGTGAGCTACCGTTTATTCTCAATCAAATGTGAAAACACATACTCAGGGTTCAGGGTGAAGAAAAAATACTCGACTTACAATCAGTTAAAAGTTGAAAATTTTAAAAGGTTTTATTCAAAAATGTCAAAGAAAGGAAAATAATAAACTTTAGGCAACATTCTACTGAAAAACAAAAGTCTTTGGCTTTAACAAACACCACAAAAAGATTCCTTTAAACTGTACATACAAGTTACCACTGGCAATTGTGTGGCACAAGTTTAAAAAAAATAATAAAACACTAAACTTTCATATAGCTCTATGAAAATCTCTTATTTTCTCAAGCTGTCTGTACAACAATCTTCATAAATTAGAACTTTTTTCATATAACTTAATGACTGTTCAACATGGTGGTAACTTATATGAGCATGTTTTCTTATGTGCACTTCTGCAACTCTTGACCCAGATACTATGGCATTTGGTTCAGACGCCACTAGCAGCATTCACCTCACAAGACAGTATTACTTCTCAGTCTTAGGCATTACACAGAAATCTCAAGTATAATCACAGCAGCCCTTTACATTGGTTGCACATCCAAGTTAACTATAGAGGAAATGCTGCTGTGAGTCTGTCTAGACCCTCGACAAAGCAACAAACATGTTGGAGACAAGGAGAACAGATCCAGTTAACCCCATGCTTTGTTGTCATTGTTTAAACAATTTTCAGCCTCTGGTATTTATTGCCATAAAAGCAGCTTAAACTATGAAACTGGATGTTTGAACATGAGTAGGAACATGTAGTTGCCTACTCAAATGATTACACTAATACATCATTAAAAAAAATAGGTTTGAAGGAAATCAAAAAGTATTCAAAACGACCTATAAGGAAACAACTGTATGTGGCCAGCTCCTGAGCGTGGCATTTGGTCTGGAAGGTGGGGCTGGACCTGCTAACCCGACCTACTACAGAGGAGAAAGAAAACTCTGAGGTAGATAACTGCTCTCACTGACCACCAGGTCGAATCCCAGGCTTACTGGAGGATACCATAATGAAATATAAGCCTACTTTAATCCACTAAGATCAAAACATTATCTGAATTGTTCTTTTAAGAAGGTTGTAACGCTCACCTATAGTAGTTTAAATGTTCTTTCTTTTCAACGTATTCATACCCATGATGCATTTTTATGTGTGAAATTAATTTGTTGCACTTCATGCTTGTGTGTGTCCGTACTGTACTATTACCTATGAAAACTGAACCTTATTGTACAAAAAAGGCACACTATCCAAACTGCAATCTGGTTTGCAGAGTCACTTGTGTCCTGGGTTAAAGAGATACATGATTTCAACAATGTACTATTTCACAATCTTTGGTGAAGTAAATTACAATTGAAAGTGCCCAGGTTGTTTCCTTTCAAAGAGCGAGGTGCAAACATACACACGTAGTCATCTTATTTTACACCCCCAACTCGCTGAACTTTTGCCTACGTTCTTTTACAAGGCTGCAATTCGTTTTTTTGCACAATCATAAGTCTATGTTTTTTCTGTTTGTTTATCAAATGTGAAAAAGACACACCCCATCAAAAAAAACATAAACATCACCCAAAAAGATAAAAACACAAATGACAAACAAAACACGTTCCCCTTCTCATTCCCCCACCCTACCAAGTTCAATTTCATCTACAATACCAAGTAATCAAAAAGGCAAGATTCAAAAAGGTAACACAGTCCAACATCCAGAAACATGAAAAGTCTTCTTACTAAATAAATATTACATTGAATTAAATCTCAGATGTGGACTCATTAAAAACGGTTTCTCTAAAATGCCATCTACTTTTCTATTAGTTTTGTAGGGGAAAGCAATAACACATTGATTTAAAAGATTCGCTAATTTCCAAGGCAAAAGCTCTCAACATTTTGTTTTGCTTATTGCTGCTCTCTGTGGTCAGTGTATCATAACTATGAAGGCGAATTTGAATCCGACAGCAAGATCAATCTAAAGCACTACGAGAAATCACTTTACAAGAAAACAACACGTAACACTTCACCAGAGCAACACTCACACAGCAAGCACAAAACATCATTTTCAAAATGTCAAAAAAGAAGTCTGGAAATATCAACAAAAACATATTTACTATCATGCACCTTGAACAACTAGTCCCATGATTCTTCTGTGTATCCTGTGGCAATCCTCGGTAAAAAATAAACGTTTTCTAGTATGAAAATAAAACTTTTTCAAAACATTTTTTTTTATATATATTGATGAAGTCAGATATTCTCTCTGAACATGATACCAAAAATAGTCTCACTTAAACATTTGCAGAACCTGTGCAAAACAGTGAAAAGATCCTCAGCATCCGTAGACATGATTGTTTCAGCTGTTGTTCCAAATGTTACCTCAGAACTACTTGGTTTGTTGGTAGGAATATGGGGAATGATTGCCGGAAGAGTCCACTTGTGACTGTGCACCATTTTCCTGGAACATAGAGTAAAATAAAAATGAACTTCTGTTTTAAATAGCGATCATTCTTTACATTGCATTACATGGCATTTCATCAAAAGTGACCTACATTCATCAGGCTGCAGTGATGTTGTTGCACGTACCTCTAAAGGAACATTTGATGTCTGCATGTGTGCATACTGTGGAATATATGCTCCTTGCATAGCTGAGTTAGCCGCCATGAACTGCACAATAAAGGAAAGAGTCATGTTGCATGTTCATTTACATTTGAATGAAGTGCTTCAAACACCTTGTTCCCAAATAGGTATGATCTGTGGGCTCATATGTGATCCCATGCAGAGTTCCCTTACCGTTCCTGCGTTGCCCATCGAGAGGTGACTCATCTGCTGTGCAAGAGGGGCCATCATGGAAGTAGGCTGTAGTGACATAGATGGGTCCATAGAGGGCGATAACACAGTACCCTGGAAGAGGAGTGTGAGAGGATGAGAGGAAGATTTGCAGCAAAGTCATTGAAGGAATATTCCCCTCGAAAACTGAAATACTACTGAAAAAACGAATAAATCAAAAATAAAATGCTAGAATGACGAAAAGGATGCAGAATATCTAGGATTTAAATGTATATTGCAGGATTGGATTTCAGAGAAGGGAAGCAGAGTAATCTCAGACTTAACATGTAATGCCCACACCAGAAGGGGAGTAGACTCAAGTTGAGCAAGTTGTCTATAAGCATCTTGGCTGGCCTGATGCAGCTTGTAATGTTTTCTACTGTGACTCAACGCAAGAAAATACTCTTCGCTCTCATTTCAAACCCATCTGTTGTAAGATATTCGTCATCTGTCATCAAATACACAGCTTAATTTAGTCTCTCCAAAGCAGTCGTTTTTACACTCCTATACAAACACTGCAGTACTGTAAATCCTCAAGGATCCGTGGCACCTTATGTGTAACTACTTCTCTCCCATATTGTGTCCGTCTGTTTACGGAAAAAGGTTACGCTCGTGTTACAACCACAGTGATGAAATAGAAAAAAAGGACGCTTACAGGGTGGGGCAAGATGTAGGGTTGATGAGCCATCCAGGATGGGTTCTGCATCTGGAACATCACACAAGTCAGTAAACACACTGGAATTGCACAGCTGCTATTTGCAGAGATCACATGCTCACTGGCAACTGTCATGAAAGGGCCACTGTGCCCTTTGTCATATATTTAACCCACACCTCCAAAAGCCCAGAGGACAGGTTCCTGAATCCTGATGACACATGGCTTACAAACACGAATGCTGAGTTGCTATGTGTGAAATGATGAATGGAAAGTTGTATCTTAAAGTAAAGCTACATACAATCTTTAAACATATTCAAACCTGGTATGCTGAAACAGGAGACATGTAAGGAGACATGGATTGAGCAATCATCCTGTTTGAAATACTGTATGCTTGTTGGAAAAATCTGGGGACACAGAATAAAGAGCCATTTAGTGAAGTTTAGAAAATAATAATATGTATACTGACTGCTACAGGGGAATATAATCTGTTGTTGTAGTTTACCCATTTTGCAAAGCAGCTGCACTGGGATCATATGTGAGTGTCATTCCAGCCTGGGAACAAAAGAAAGCACAGGTTTGGCAACTAAGCACAACACGCAACACCGACACACAGCATCATCCTGCATGCAACAACCTATTGTGTATCTATTGTGCTCAAACCTGAAAGCAGGTGCCTGAGACTACAGGGTGCATAACCAGGATTACAATATAGGAGTGACAGATACATGCAATGTATTCCTTAGGATATTTGTTATCACTGAACAGCACAACTCTAAAGGTTGTAATATTAGTTATACTGTCTGCTGTTAAATCATTGTAGATACACCTCATTTATTATTCCTCATTATGAATTGTTCCACATCACAACCTACCAGTCTAGAGTCACCGTCTCTTCCCCAGCCACGACCATTCAGGACAAATCTATTCTGATTTTGACGCTTTTTCTGTCCACCATCAGCAAACTTGCACAGCAAAGGTTCAGATGATACTAAAGAGGGAGAAGGGACAGGAGAATAATGTAAAATGTTCGTCTCAGAGTAACATAATCACACACACTCCTGTCTCTTATTGCTTGCTATACAGACACTGACTCCCCAGAGTCAGGGGAGTGCACATTTACTCGGCGACCTGGGAACGCAGACATCTAATTTGGCAGCTGTGGAGCTGTAATCCCCTCCCCTTCCTAAAGGAGGCAAGGCCAGCAGAGACTATTTCAGTCTAATAATCCAATTTAAAAGCTTAGAGAGGGAGTGGATGCCACACAGAGCAGCCCCCCCACTCTGGTTTTCTTTGTCTGTGCTCTGCCACTTAGTGCTGAATGTATGTGAGCAGCAGACTCACTGACTCCTGTTGGAGGCAGGAATCAGTCGGCAGTCCACTTCACTCTGCCGATACACGGCAGCCATTAACAGTGTGCACATTATAGTCATCACAAGACAAATGCTGTTATTCTCTTTCACATATTACTTCCATGGCATGGCAGTTAAACTAAGTATGTTTTCATTACATTTCTGCAGTTCGCTCCTAGGAATGTTAGATGAGTTATACTGTGTTCTTACCTGGAACACCTGCAGGTGTTTTAATAAACTTTCCATTGAAGTGAGAAATGACTGCATCACATTTTTCAGTTGACTCCATCCTGAAAACATAGAAGACATACAGTATAATTATATCAGTGACAACTGCAGAAACAAAGATTGTGCAGGTGCTTTCCAAAACCGACTTCCTTTCTGGGAAGGTGGGAGAGGTGGATCATTATGAAAGAATGTAAGCTCAAAGTGTACATTCTGTCGATTGCAATCAACTTGTAAACCTTTCACCATTGTGTCCACACAGACCTATTAACACATTAACATGTTTGTGATGTCACACATGACCCTGGCCTCGCCTGTCAGGTATTGCAGTAAAACGTATAATTAAACCATCCAGTCATAGCGAAACTATTTCTTAAAGGAGTTTCCATTTGTCTATACATATCTGCTCTCTCCACCTTGTTCTTGGCAACATAGATATGTGTTTTTAGGTATTCATTTTAGAAATTAAGCTCTTTCTGTATTAAACTAAGAGGGGATATTCATAGAGAAAATCTGAAAAAAATGATGATTTTATTACATTTGAAAGCTGTTCTATGGAAATGTTTTAAGCAATATCCTATCATGGGTAGTGGACATTACCTCCTATAGCATGGATTTTAACCCTTTGGTATTGTTAGCAATATTCTATTAGACATTTAAAATACATATTTACGTTGTCGCCTAATGTTATGAAGGCAATACTGCCACTAGTCCCCCTTTCTATGTCGTAACGTAATTTCCATGTCACCATGTAAAGAGGTCTCTTTATTCTATTTAATCACATCAATGTATCATATTCTATGTCCTCTAGTTTGGCTATTTTGTTGTTAAAATGTTATATGTGGCACCAGTATAAAAATACGTCAGGACCATGAGTCATTGACAATAAATGACTGACCTTGCAAAGCCCACCCCTCTGCTGCGTCCACTGGAGTCCCTCAGGATGCGCGTGGATATGACCTGGCCGAAGTGCTTCAACATGTTCTCCAGTTCCTGCTCATCCATGGACATGGGCAAGTTGGAGATGTAAAGGTTTGTCGGGTCTTGTTCTTGTTGCTGCACAAGGAAAAGAAGGGGAAACAGGAAACCAGAGGTAATGAAATGATTCGGGAAATGCTTGAAAAACGCCCGGGAACACATAAAACTTTCCTCTGTAGTATCAATTTCACACTGGCTTTGGTTACAAGGAGGAAGAGGGGAGCGGCGGAGATTTCTCTTGCAATGTCATATGCTTTCTCCCTGGAAATGGCTAAACGTTTAATAGTCTCTAATAAGGTCTTCAGTAATGGGGTTAACATGCCTCTGCTTATCTCTGCTTCTCCCTGTCTGTCTCTGTTGGGGCTTTTAGGTGGTAAAGGGTCACTATATGAGCAGTGATAAATAAGAGATTTGCATGCAGCCCACGGTGGCTTGAGGCTCACATCAGCTGATTTCTCGCTGTATTTTAATAGCATCAGCAGAAACATAAGACACGGCTACGACTCCCAGGGGAGCGGCCCCTCACCATTAATATTCATCAGCGGTGTGTTATACAGAGTCGGCTACAGGGACAGCTTGGATTACTAAAAGTAATACACTGACAGAGAAATCTACATTTCAGAATTAAAGGACAAAGATGGAGCCACCGCCTGCTCTGCAACCAAACCCAGCTTTACCTTGAAGGCCTTTGGTGGGGGGGGATGAGCAGCAATATGGCTAAGTGTCCCCTAGATGACCTCCCGCTTAGGCACTTGATGTATTGTTAATAACAGGAAGCTGCTATCTTTCTTTTCAGCCATAGCAGCTCCTCTGTTTGAACACAGACTCTCTTGCCATGTTAAAGACATTTTGGAGAAAGAAAATCACATATGTGAAAAACAGCTAAGAGAAATGCAAGGACAATAATGATTGCAGTGAGATAAGACCTCTCGTTGTCCTTTGGATGGGTCACAAACCACCAGTCAGTGATGAACTGTGACTGATGCATGTCTGTGGAAGAAGAGCTGATGAAGATAGGTGTGGCTGATACAGGGAAGTTACTCTTCACCCTCACATTCACCTGGTAGATGCCTGGTCCAGCCTCAGCCTTATTCTGTTGCTACTGAGCAGCTCCACTGAAGCAGTTGGGCCTTTAAGCTGAAGGGTATAACAATGGTGGTAATGGGGAACGGGGATGTGCTGCTCCTTCACTTCCTCTGGCAACATGTAGCCTGCTGATCCAGAGATTTCTCCTCCCTCACCAAGTTTCATGAATATTGGCCAGTTTCTTTTTCACAATCTGACTGTTTGACAAAAACGAAACCAACAACTGAACCAAAAACATAACCTCCATGAGTGAGGTAAGAATGTCCCTTTATTAATGGCATTCCCACTGCTTAATAATACATTCTAAAATAATGTAATGGTATATTGTTGCCTATATTAATAACATTCTATACAAGTCTAAATGAGTCCCTTATATGCATACAGAGAAAGGAAAGCACATAGTCAAGTATCACTAGATATTCATTGAAGTAGCATATGGTAAAAAGCAGGGAAACTCTTATCTGGCCACTTCCCACCACCTGCCGATGAAATAATAATGAGAGAAAGCCCATTGAAGGCTGATAAAATAACAGGAAAAGGGACCTTTGTCAGAGTGTTCATTAAGTCCAAACAAGCTTCAGCAATAGTGAGAATAAAGCTAGAGTGAAAGGCTCACACTTTATAATGGCATTTACCTTCCACAATACAAAGATTAAACTTCAGCATGGCCCTGGATCTATTTTAATTAAAAAAATAAAATGGGTGCACAGAGGCATGTCAAGAAGCTCTACAGATCCCCAGACAGGGAAATGAGGCCATGGGTTCTTGCTCAGTGCTGTATGGGAACAAACTTTCCCCTGACTGGCTCCTGTTACCATAACAACACACAATTATTTACTTCCTTTCCTGCTGTCAAAGAGTTTAGGTGACTTAAGTAAAAGCCCACCATTTGAAAATCTCCTATACTATTCGGTGAACAAATAAAGCTGGATCTGTGTTGAATTACAACTGTCCACACACCGTTGCAAGTCATAGTTTGAACTATTTCCATTAAAGCAAGATTTTGAACCATTTCAATTTAAGTAATAGTTTAAAATGAAAACTATTTATTTATAATGACAATTTATTATAACTATTTTTTTCGTTTATTTGTACTCCCTGCAAACTTTACGGTTGTTTGAACCATATTTGCTGCATAAAGCCTCATTTGAGGTATGTTCATTTTTGAAGTAGAGATACTAAATATAATCATATGTTTGTTTGGAGGAGACAAAAAGACTAGTCTCATAGTCTCAGCACGAGTACTGTATGTCCATATGGTGGATCATTTGACTGCTACATTATCCAGCTGTCAGCAGCTCGAATCTCTACACCCTAAAGTCTAGCAATTGGCACTAATCAGTCTGCACCCCTTCTTAAGCATGAAGCCTGTCCGGAAGCTGTAGGCTAACAGAATATCTTTGCTAACTTTCAATCGGTGACATATTGAATAAGAAAGTGGTGGAGCACAGATGTTAAATGTATTCAAACTATATTTACTATACTATTAATGCAATTATAGGAGTCAAACTCAATTTAAAAAAAGAAACGGACATGGGACAGGGTAGAGAATTAAACCAATAAGACGAAGGCTCAGAGTGCAGCAGGTGGAGGGTAGAGATACTATTGATAGAGCAAACAACTCACTAGAACACATGCATTCAAGTGATCTCTTTGATGGTAAAACAAATAAGTTAAGGACATTGTGACGTCACAGGGCATTTCAAATCAAATAGACGCACATACTATTTAAGGCCAAACTTACGCCTCATTAAATCTGTTGGTAAATTGTGCAAATGCATAAAATCAAATAAAGTTCCACCTACACTTATGCACAAATACCCACTTGTTTCAACACATGATTCAACTCTCAGACTCACTACCGACCAATGGCTGGGCAGCATACACCCCGCATTCACGGATTCCAGCCCTGTTATTTAATACCACGTAGATTAGGTTTAGCTCGCCTCCCCAGCCAGATGGAGGAGAAACCGTGTTACCGGGTGACTTGCATGTGCGTGATATACGGATTAGACTGTAATGAATCCTCACCTTTGCCATCTGAGCTTGGACACCAGTGGTCTTCAGGGCAGCCACAGCTTTCTGAGCTGCAGTGGGGTTGTCAAAGTCCACAAAGCCATATCCTGAGGAGACAAGCAGCACAGTTATAGCACGATATTCTAAAGCAAGCACAAAGAAACGACTAAGCATGCACTGACCTTCAACTCTCTGCGGTGGATGGTTAATAGTGTGTGTTCATTTGTGGGTGTATCATTTTAGTCAAATAAAGCTTTACATACAGTGTGTTACTATTTAAAATGTACAGTATGTATGTTTATATACTTTTGCACTATAGGCATATCTAAGTATGTGTATTTTAGGCATGCAAATAGCGATTATTTTAATTATGAATCATTTTCTTTCGTCTATATCTAATGTTAGCCAATAGCACAATTCCCATAGATAACCTTAATTACCCAGAGCAAATTGTGATACTATCCCTAGCCTGGTTATGTCTGACAGGGACTCAAACAACACCACAAATGACTAACTTTTGGGAAAAGTGGAACCAGAGAAAGATATGATAAATTAATTATTAAAATACACTTTCTGTTAGACAATCAATTAGTTGTTTCAGTTTTAGTGTATTTACGTGAGTTTTTGTGTACATATTTGTCTGTGTGCTTTTGAAACTAGAGGTAGAATAGCGCTGATGATGCAGATACCAGCGTGACGTTCATGGCTCAGGTCAGCCTTTTGTCCTGGGGGGGGGGGGGGCGGGGACAAGCAGGGTGAACCTGTAGTCCATAACCTCAACTACAGCCGCTATATTTAACCTATTCGAGCTTAACTATGGTGATCATGTCAGGGCTCTTTCAGCTGAGAAATGGGTCACTTTGGTACCAAGAGTTTCATGTAAATCTTTGTTCAAGTAATTAATATAAATTCAGAATAGTTGTGAAAGTAGTTCAAATACAATGTTGAGAAACTCAAGGTCGCACAAGTTTTTGGAGAAGCCGTCTGAAATTCAGTGAGAGCTCTGTTAAGGTCTTTAACAGTGTCCTTTTCCCCATTCACTGAGAGACATCGATTAACTGGCATCTGTATAATCCAGAGGAGAGTGACAAAGCATTCTCTTAATCCGATCAGCACAAGAGAGAATCAGTAAATCCCTCTTTAGTCAGATGGGCAGTCTACTAGAAATGAACCAAGGCCAACACTGTCACTCAGCAGAAGGAGGAGGAGTCGGACACTTTTTTCCCAGGAAGCACCCGCGGCAGTGACACATTAACAGACAAGGGCTGAGGCTTAAAATAACATGAGCTGGGAGGCAGCTTTAAGCAGCCGAGCTGTTTCCTGACATATCATCTGACACAACTGCATTGCTGCTGAATGACTTTCATAAAATCACCGGGTGTCTACCATTCTATAGGAAGTTTAGACGTGAAATCCTACAGGGAACGTCATTGGTTTAATGAGGTAAGAAAAAAGTGGGACCGTGACGTAAAGAGAAAAACAACTTTACACACCTTTACATTTGTTTGTAGTCTTGTCCAGGATGGCCTTTGTTGACACAATTTTGCCATACCTAGGGGAGGAGTAGAAAGGCGAGGCAATTGGTAGCTGGATTATGTATGAACCAGACAGAGCCAGTTATAAAACACACAGAGAGGGAGGGTTGAGCAACAACCGATGACATCACTGTACAAATATGAGAAACAGGAAGCGGTTTTCATGTGGTGCAGAAAATCCCCACCATGTGAGTGCGAAGCCAAATAGTCCCTTTTGAACTAAACCACTATCTTAAACTTCATAAAGACACACCAAAGGCACACCCTATCACTCATGTATGCTTGTACGTATGTGCAAACCCCAGCCTAACCAAACACGGCGGTTATGAATTAAAAAGGAGAAAAAAAGTAATGTTGTCGGGTAATAGGCAAAAACCCCCACTCTTTCTCCCTTTTTTTTTTCTTACACAAAAAGTCTCAAAAGCTTCACTCCTTTAACTGTGATTTTGTAGGTGATTCAGTTTATACATGTAAAAACAGTCAAAGTTAATAATATGTGAGTATTGTTTTTTATAATCTATCTGAATGTTCTATAAGTTAAAATAAAGAACAATGCAATTATGACACCAAAATGAATACGTGAGATATGTCTAACACCCAGAGAATGAATTGGCAGCTTTGTGTCGCAAAGTCAGTATTGTGTAAGAAAGGGCAAATAAAATCTCTGAGGCACCAGGGTGGTTTCTCTGCTTGGCAAATATAAAGCATTCAGCGCACAAAGAGAGCGGTGGCCGAGCCCAGTGCCGACAGTATCTCTCCTTTATCTACACACATGACATATGAAGCCTCTGCTGCTGCGCCCAACAGGTGTGGTTTTCAAGATACATGTCTTCTGTCATATTCAAAAGGATCCTCTAATATGGCAGAATGTTAGAATGTCCAACATTCACATATGAATCCATAGGTGTCTCACTATGCTCTTGCATGGTCCAAAACTACTCGATTCTTTATAAAAAGAGGATTTCATATGAAATCATTTTCAACAGACATGTAGGGTTCCATTTCTTATTCAAAGACATAATATTAGAAAATAATAATAATACATTTCATTGATATAGCACACTTTAAAAACAACATCATCTCAAGGTGCTTCACAGTGCTATAAAGGAGAAAATAATTAAAACAAATAAAATAAAAAGTTATCTAAGGAGCATATTGAATAAAATATGGTAATATATATATATAAAAAGGTTAAGAGCAAGGAAGGAAAGGAAGAACATGCACAAAAGTAAATGATAAAAAAGACAACACCCTATAACAAAATGGCATATTTAAGACTAACCTGTAACTTTTCAACGCCTATTTTGTATTCTAACCAATATAAGGCAAGCGGTTACTGCCGCTGCAAATTCAAACTAGATTCTAAAATGTAAAAAAAAAGAGTCAATAAGCAGCATCAATAGCAGATATTGATGAGAGGAAGTGTGGTACTCACGGCTGACAGAGCTTGACCAGGTCATGGTCTGTGGTAGAGGGGGACAAGCCTCGGATGTAGAGGTTGGTTTTGCTGAGCTGGTCCCAGCCTGCAGTGCTGCTGCTGCTGCTGCTCGGGCTGGGGGGAGCCATGGGGTGGGACGACGGGGCAACAAGTGGCTGGAATAGGTGAAGAAAACACAGGAAAATGTAGTTACATTTTAAGTTCAGGCAGAGTGGTAATCAAACAATATTGTGTATCATCATGGAACCAAATGATCAAGTCCACAGTGTAGTAAAAGACCTTGGAGTACACTTGTACAATACATTTTCCAGCAAGGCGAGAAGTGCAACCATGGTCTAGCAGCGTTTATCTACTTAAAAAATCTAAATAACTAATTTTGCAGCACTTTGGAGCAGCAGAAAAAAGCAATCAACACGATTTGAACATATTATCAGTGTGCATTTACACTTGTGTTTCCAGCCATTTTACAGTTGTATCAAGGCTGAAGAAAGCTTACGGCATCTGGCAATGACGCTGATGCGGTAAGAGTTAACCAAAAGGCTATAAAACCAAAACAGTTCAATAAAAGATGCTGAAACTCTAGCTGAGAGGAGAGCTGAGGGGAAATGCAGAGTTGGGTTGGGTATGTCACTATAGATGACCCCTTACAAATGCACATTGTCATTTGGTCCAGTGTTGATTAAAGCAGATTTAAGTTAGTCTTATCCTTGTCCATGTCCAAGAGAAGTTGCTTGAAGATGTTGGAAAAAATAAGTAGGGAGAAATAGCCTAGATCAGGGGTACTCAAACTTTTTTGTTAAAGGTCCACTTGTGAATTTTATACAAGGTCAATGGTCCGGATCAATGCCACTAAAGTAAAAGGAAATTAAGAAGCAGTTTCGGCGTGCTATGCTGTTGCTGCAGTAAATTAAAGGGTCTTTCATGTTGTCGTTGCTGTGGACCCTCTTAATTTGTTAATTTTTTATTAAATGTTTACGTTTATTCTGGTTTGTATCTTTTATTTTAAATTAATTAATTAATTTTATGTTTTGTGAGCTGTGTGGTTTTATATTGTATGTATCTCTCTGTACAGCACTTTGGTCAGGAGGTTTTAAAGTGCTAAAGTTGGATTGGATTGGATTAATCTACTTTATTTGGGGGCCCCCTTCTGGTCCAAGCACTTGCCTGTCGGTAAACGGCGCCCCTGTATACACACACACATTCAATACATACATACAGTGTGATGGCTTGAACTAGTGGGAGAAATGGCACTGTTTGTCTGTAGCCAATGCCTTGAACCTCGGCAAAATGGCATTAGAAGCATTAGAAAGTCAAGGTAAACTTGCGGTTAACTTAAATGCATGTCACGCTCGCGCACACAAGTAAATATATGCACGTTCATTCTCAGAACGCGTCAGACACAAGAAAATATACATTAAAGGGGACCTATCATGCAAAATGCACTTTGTGATGTCTTTTATACATAAATATGTGTCCCCGGTGCGTCGGGGAACTAAAATAAAACCCTCTCTCTTTTCCTCCGTACCCAAATCTTTTAACAACAGGGGTACAACGAGCGGATACAGATTTGCTGCCGATCTGACGTCAAATCGGCAGCGGACCCACAGAAAATTGCTATCAGAAACAATGCCTGACGTGTTTTGGACGTAATCTCGTCTTTGTTTACATTAGCAAGCCTCGCTAACACTCAGTAACCTGTATTGGAGAGCACATGCGTTTTAAAAAGCAGGAAATCAAAAAAGGAACTCACCTTGTGATAAACCCGCAAGAGAAAAAGCATTTGAGCTCCATACTGTTTCAGAAATAATCCATGATGTGGTTTAGAACAGGATGGCGTTTTATCACAACAGAATGTAACTTTATCTCCGGTAGAATTCTGATCAGGCATTAGCTCCGCCTCCTCTTTTCTTTTTTTTCAAGCTAAGAACCCAACATCCGGTGTTTCGGGTTTCTCTAACAGGGCTGCAAAAGAGGGGTATGAGCAGTGTGGCTTAAATGGGTGAACTGTTTGGTGTTTTAAGCAAAAAACTTCAGACATGTTTTGTATAGTTAAGACCCTACAATATATTTTTTCCAATATAGCATAATAGGTCCACTTTAATTTACATCAGAATCAGAATTGTCTTTTTTTGAATTTTTTTTTAGAATCGGACACAGGGTTCGGTCCGGATTGATTTGTAGTTCGATCCGGACCCGGACCTTGGTCCGGAGTTTGAGAAGCCCTGGCCTAGATAATAAACCATGAATGGCATCCGTGTGCCCTCACCAAGTCACTTAAATATAATGACTGTCTGTACACTCCATCATTAGTATATGGTTGGTTTTCTGACCGGTGTGAGGATTAATGTTTTACAGAGCACTGATCCATATCTGTAGAACAATCTCCATCACACCCTGGCAGTCAGCACATTAAGGGTCTACAGGGGCTTGTAGCTCTGACATCAGTGTCACACCAATGTCACCGTCTAAGAGGTGTACCAAATGAGCTATTCGCAGGTCAACATAAACAATCATCTCTGGATCTTAACCATAACTCTTATTGATGTGTCCCTTTATTGCTCAGAAGGGTTTGAGTTACTTCTTGTATGACTGTATCTTTTCCCTATTTGAAAAAAAAGATAATGTTGAACAGACTTCAACAACTGGCACTGCGATTTTCACTAAGTATTAATATTTCATATTTATTTCATTTTAAATATAATATATTTTTTAATTGTATATCCCGTTTATCTATGCCCTTTTTGTTTGTTTTATGTATATAAAGTCACTGTGGGACTGCGGGAAACGATATCTCAAGATTTCTGGATGTATAACACATGTAGTAATTTTGACAATAAAGCTGACTTTGACTTTGTTTCTTATAATAGCTGGAACTCAGGCCTGTTGTTGTGTGAAAGGAGAAGAAGTGAAAATCCTTCAGCGATTGGGCAATTTTGTGCTGTATGTTTACAATACACAGATGTCGTAGTCTGAGAGCTCTCCCCTCCAGGAGTCTGTCTTTTTGTTTCCTATCCTACACTGAATACCCCCCCCCCAACCCCCTTCTCTGAGGACTCACAAGCTGAGAGGAAGTTGATGGAATCCCAAGCATGAAGTGCTGACAGGATTGAGCAACCCAAGTCTGGACGAGAGGATCTTCTCTTGTGACCGGCAGCCTCACATAACTTCTCACTGAAACCAGTTTGACTTAGTCCCGAATGATTGGTGGCACGAGTCCCTTTTGCTTCCACCATAACAACACGGTAGGCTATCTGTCTAAAGCATAGTCTGCGTTATAACATTATTATTAACATGGCTTCAGTGTATGCTGCAAGCTAAATTGTTCCACAAATTAAAGGTAAAGGGATTATCTTGGGTGATCTGACAAAACCTCTCTTTAGTATTCGCCATAGAGACAACAGCAATAATGTTGCTACTTTTGTTACATGAATATGTGTGACGGGAGTATTCAGAAATGTTTTTACAATTCTCGGAAAGCGTGATAAAAGAAGGCTGGACTATAATAATTGTGCAATATGTCACAGTTACTCTCGTGACTAGCCTTCAATTACAAACTACTTATGAGTATCTAAATGGATTTCCCTGATGTTTGTAAGACAAGGAAACATGACACACATATCAGAAAATAGGCCAGGAATTAGAAGACACAGGAATGACTTCCTAAATGACGCTGGATAGAACTTGTAATGCACGTTTCTCACCTAATTTGAACTAGTGATTTCAAGATGACTGTGATGGTGAAGAGGGGCCAAAACAATGCTGGCAAGTATTGTTTCATTATTATACTATACAGTCAAAGTCTTCATACTGCACTTCATTTAACAAACAAAGTAGGCTATGGCTCATAATCAAATGGTTTTCCCCTTATCACAATAAAGTGATACTACAACTTATTTCTCAGCATCTAAGAGAGACTGGTTCTTTCATTCTTAACAGTCAATTACGAACAGGCCTGAAAAAAAGTGTGGGGTCAATACTGTATATTTCATATTTCATATATTAATGTTAGAACTTTACGACAGGAAATGAGAAAAACCAACAATGAAATGTTGGGAATCAATGGGGCTTAAGATAAAAACTTTAAGATCTAAAAAAAACAATTGGAATGTAACTTTATAATTATGTCTTACACTCACTCAACCATATGAAACACTGAAGACAAGTTATATTTACAGAGAATTCCTGTCAAAGAGCCCTAAACTCCATGTCCTTAAAATGGGCTTCAGGTGAGTGCAACTTCCTTTTTATTCTCAGGGACTGGAAGTGAGTTCAGTTGTCACACATTTCCCTGTCTTCTCAGAAGCAGGACTGTGAGAGGCTGTGATGGGAGGGGACGGCATCTTATCAGCCAGCTCCAGACCAACAGAGCCCGTCATATCCGAAATGGAAATACGCAGGGCTTTCAGTAACAAGCCTCGCCCATGGCGCTCGAGCCACAGGATAACAGCATGAGAGCACGGCACAGTGGATATGCTTATTCAAATCTTTTGGCTAAAGGGAGTTTTAAAAATCCATATGTAACTGGGACAAAGTGAATGCATCAGTGGACAAGCAGTCATCCATACTTTATAATTGTGTACAACATAGAGAAACCTACTGAAAGAGAATGTGGTGTGTTTAAGGTAACCTGGGGTTCATCATTGAAAGTGAGTTTGACAAAATAGAAGCCATCCAATGGTAGGCCTACAAACTAAGAAAGGATATATGTATGGACATTTAAAACTTCTATTTGGTCGAGTTTAAGTGAAGTGTTGTTCAATGCCAGCCCATGTGTATCTTTATAATCTAAAATGTGTAAAAAGTGATGCTCTTAGATGGGAGAGCAGACTGTTTTGCCAAGTCTCTCCGGCAGGGTCGGACCTGGCTGGACCACAGCCCGAACAGTAGGCTGTTCTCTTTATGCATTATCTGATGGTTCATCACACACAGCAACACCACACGGCAATTTAACTGACGTAACCCAAAGTAAGTTTTCTTTCTGTTTAAGCGTCAGTTATTCAGCCTGTGAGCTGCTGTTAAATAGACATTTTCAGCAACTTTCATGAAGTCACCTTTGTGTTTTATGTAAGTAGCCTTTGATAAATATGAGCGTATTTACGTTACCTGTTTGCGATACGGAGTCCTTAGTGGGTTTCCAGTATTGGCAAAAATCATCCTCAGTTCGAATAGGGGCTGTTTTTCTTTAGTTAAGCTACAATTTTCAAGCGAAATATATCAAACTCCTCGTATAAGTAGAAATGTTTTTGACATCGAAATCCTCCTTACTCCGATAATGGACACAGAAATGAAATGCTATACATATTAGCTGTATACATATCCTTGTTGTCGTCGACTATCCGGCAACAGAAACCTCCGTAAATTGTCCCAACTTCGATTGCCCAGCCCCGTTTGACTGGCTTCATTGATTTGCAGTCAGCGCTGCGCAGGAGGACTGACGCTGCCACGGAGGGAGAAACCATCTGAGCTTTGTGGTAGGGTCGTTCCCCAAACAATGTTCCCGAAACAGACTTCGATTATAATCAAGTCGCTCTTACTGAGATAATAGAGTATGATATTTCTTATTTAAAAAATACGTGTTAGCATTAATTAATCATACAAGTTAGTGTTGTATCCAAATACATAATAGATAAACATTGTTTTCCCCTCTGTTTTTGTTCGTGTATTAAAGGTGCATACCAAACATTCCACCGTGCAGCTTGTCCTGTATCTGATAGTCTGACAAGTTTCTCGGTGTTTTTGCGTTTAACCAGAACAAACTAAGCAGAATATATGCAACAAATGGTAAACAAAATCTACTTCTAAGTCTAGGTTTAAACATAATTATTATTGGCAGTAAGGTATTCCATTTAGTAGGCAGCAATACGATGATCAATATGAGCTTCAATAATGACCATGATAAATTGGTTTGATTTATGAAGTCCTGAATATTGGTTTTATTGTTATTCATAGAAATGTTGTAGTAAAACGCATCAATTTCCCGTACAACAAAGTTCAACACCCAGAATTAATAGAATATAACTAGATTCTTCGTATAATACAAAAAAGCATTTAACCATCACTTGCACAGATTGCATAACATATTAAGTCTTTACACAAAACAATAAAACATTCAAAAGTTATATTGCCTTAATATATATGTATTTGTTATACATAATTTTGCTCCATTATGTTGAGTAAATTGGACAAATGTTTTTTTCACAATTTGAGTAAATGGTCAGTGGACAATTCCAAACCTCTGAAGAAAAAAATCTGCATGACTAGAAGAAAGAAAGGAAATGTGGAAAGTTTGCTTAAGATTATGGAGATGAGTTGATAATAAAGGATCAGGTCTTGCAGCAGAATAGTATTTTGTTAAAAGAGATGGCTTCTATTATGGACTGTGTGTAGAAGGACCCTCTTAATGTGAGTGACAGGTGGTCATGGTGGATTGTGTTTGTGTGTGGGGGAGGTCTTTATTGAAGCAGGTAAGAGGGACAAGCTGGGCTATAAATCCAAAGCAATCTACCCGGCACTGTCACCTGCTGATTGGAAAACCACACTGGTGGCAGAAAATGCGAATTAATGGTGACCTTCAACGAGGTACAAGCACCATGCTGTGGGCCTATCCGCTGTCTTCTTCTGCCTTTATAGCCCCTCTAAACTGTTGAACCTTCATGGTCTCCCTGATTTAGTTAGTCGTCGGTAGCAGATGTTTTGCCTCACCACTGTCAGCAACAACAAATAAGACAGAAACGATGCAAATCAAATTTCATCTGCATGGTTAAAGACTTGTTTTCTTCGACCTGAACGTGCACTGGTGTAATGTCATAGAGAGTATGTGGTTCCAATTTAGCTGCATGAAAAATGGGGTCCTCAAAGCGGACTAATCACTGACATTATCCTTGAGAGACCACTATGACATCAGTGGCCTTTTATTGAAGGCATTGACACAATGTGTATACATAGGTGTGTGTTATGTGAGATGCCATTCCTACATGAAAGCAAAGGTCATCAGTGGAGCATGGAAAGGAGTTCACCAGGCCAACTGGAGTCAATGGGTCAGCATTAGAGGAAAGGGAGGTCTGATTCAGCACTCTGCTCAGAGTACTAAAGGGGGTGGTGGTACATAGAGAGGCAATTGAACCATTGCCTTTTATGAAATTGTAAAAGGAAGGGTTATCTCTGCGTGTATATATACCTAAGCACATGCACTATTACTGGACACGGATGTTAGTATCACAGGTAGAATCTCAAAATAATTTTAATGTAAACACTTAAAAAAGTCAACAGTATATAAAATATGCATGTAAATCATGTGAATTGCGTTGATTTGTTATGAAAAGTCAGCCGTTTTTGAATTTATATGAAAGGCTTTGGTAGTTACCCAAAGAGCATGCCTCTGAAGGAGATCTCCTTTCATTATAGATGCCGGTTTAGATTGCACACACACTCACCCAAACAGGCAGAAACATGCATAGATGCAAAGATGTGAAGATCACACGGATAGCATTCACTCACACACACTCACACACACTGGGTATTTCCAAGGGAAATAAGAAGGTGAGGTTATTTTAAGACATTGTGCTGTTCTCACTCCTACCTGAGCTAAATAAAACTGTCTCTATATCAGCCAACAAAGTCTGATGTATATGAAGAAAGCGTTGCTCCCTGTTTTGTCTCTTGCAAATCATAACAGCTTTTACAGTCTCACAGCTAATTTGCAAAGGTCTGCAAGACGTGCTTCCTCTCTGTGTTAGATTCCTGAGAAGTGTTCGAGCAGCTTCAGGAAGCTTTTAGTAACAGCCTCGGTACCTTCCTGCCTGGATGGATGGGAGTATTTGGGTTGGGCTGTGCAACCCCTTTATGGCAGCAGCAGATTTATTTCCTCTGACTCTTGACTGTAAATTAGTCACAAAAGAGAGCTGTGAGTGCCAGTGTGTTTGTTTCACAGAGAAAAAAGGCCCACATTCACAGCTCTGGTCTGTAATTGAAGTGCTGATGTGGGGGAGGTGTTCATGACACCCTGCTCAGTTATTCAGAAAAAAATGAGTCACTTTACTGGTTCCATGTGATCATGAACAATTAAGGATTATTAATATAAGATACAATGTATTAATAAATTGTACATCAAGGTTAGATGTTTGAAATTAGAAGATCTATCTTTGTTGTGGAACCCCTCACCATGTTTGACGTAATAGTGTTTTATGTCCTGCAAAATATAATTTATATATCATCACACTGGTGGGAGCAGCTGAGTAATCCTTTGCTCTTTTCTTTGTATTTATTATGAATAGTTCTTTTGTAAAGATCAGTAAATCTCAAACAGAATAAAGAACTCCATTGATATATATCAAAAAGACAACTTAAAGTGGACCTATCATGCTATAATTGAATAATATATTGTAGAGCCATACCTATATAAAACATGTCTGTGAAGTTATTTTTTCAAAATACCAAACAGATCATGCATTTTAGCCATGCCTCATTTCGCTCTATTTGCTCTATTCCAGCCCTGTTTTTGCAAGGGCTGATTCTGTGGCAAATGAGCTGCAGCTGACCACGCCCCCCTGCAAAGGAGGGGGGCGAGGCACGAGCATCATGTTACCATGCTGTTACCATGCTGTTACCATGCTGCTACCATGCCACGGCAACCTCTCATTCCCCTGATAGGCAGAGAGTTGCCCATATAGGCGGAGCACCCCGTTTCTGACGTCAGAACAATTTCAAATCTGTATCAGTCTGTATCAGATCCGTTGCAGCCCCGTTTTTAGAGATTTGGGTATGGAGGAAAAGAGAGAGGGTTGTGTTTTCTGACACTTGGTGAGTTCCCTGACACACCGGGGACACATATTCATGTATAAAAGACATACAAAAGTGAATTTTGCATGATAGGTCCCCTTTAATGTAAGCACCATGCAGCTGTAGGATAATATGGAAATACTACATAAAAGACTATTTAGGAGTCAAGAAAAAGGAAATGAAGGAGTCCCTGCACCATCTGATGTGAAATGTTAATTATGACATCAAATAATATTTCTTTGTTGAACAATAAGTGCTAAATCTTTGTTGTTAAATGACAATTGTATTGATCACTGACATCGTTTCAGAATTGATGTAAAAACATCATGCACGCAGGGTTACAAATACAGGGCCTATATAACACAATGTGTATAGTCCAACCCAGTCTCATGGCATTTCGTGTTCGCCAACACGATTTTTAATCTATTGATTCGTGTTCACCAGCACGATTTTCCCCTTTTTTTCGTGTTGCACAGCACGATTTTAAAAGCAATGTATTTCTACTAGTAATTTGTTTCGTGCCTGTAGCACGTCTTTTTCTCCGGTCGGGTCGTGGAAGACCGGAAGCTGTGTGGTTCATAAAAACATGTTCGTACTCAATATCAAGCCACAATTATTGCTTTTATTTTAAATCGTATAATTTCGGACTTTTGTTGCCGTCTGGGAGGAAAATAAATGGGGCTCAGAGCCTCAGAATACTGAAATCTGTATTTTTAAATATTTTTTTCCTTCTAATTTGTTATTCTTTTCAAAAATAACACACTGTTATTTACTCACCATTAACACACAACTATTCTTGCTTTTATGTATTGGTTTAATTCCATAATCTCGGGCTTTTTTGGCGTCCGTCAGGAACTGAATTTCAAAATAAAAATAACCGGAAACAGACGTAGGCCTATAAGGGACATTTCGAGCATCATTGCGATTGTCAACATTTCTGAGTTTAGCATGGCCGAAGACACTACACTACCCATAATCCCCAGCTATCGTTTAGGACTACAGTTATGGAGTCAGATTTGGGTCAATATTCTCGCGCGTAAAACAAGCTACTCACGAGCGGAAAATGTGCTTTTACACGCGCATAAAATGACCCTCGCGCGCAGATTAAACCCCCGCGAGCGGCTCTGCGCCCGCGAGCGGCTCTGCGCTCGCTCGCGAGAGAGACAGCCCTATTGCTTGCTCGCGGGAGTGTCAGCCTCGCGGAGTCTGTCTACGCGCGCGTGAAAAGTTTCTGGCACTTTGGGGCGGAGCCACTGGACTTTGATTGACAGCTGCCAGGAAACCCGGGGTTGCCAGGTTTGATAAATGCCTGAACTACCAAGAGCCGAGCAGTGACGGCAGCAACATCTAGGTGCGTACAGCAGACAGTAGCTAGCAGTTTTCGACGGACACAGCCCACTGAAAAATATATTGTTTTATATCAAATTAATGTATATTACATTACATTGCATTTAGCTGACGCTTGTATCCAAAGCGACTTACAATAAGTAGGCCTACATTCGACCAGGAAGACACAACCTTGAAGAAAACAGAATCATATATATATATTAGCTGTACACTTTACGAATATAATAGTTTTTATGGACAACTTTACCATTCAATCTCGTCCAACTGATTTTGCTGCCGTCACTGCTCGGCT